ACCTCTTTGTACTAAAGATAAAAAATCTCATAGAATACAATCTCTTTTATTATATATTGCGAGAAGAATGACAAAATTTAAAGGAAAGCCACAAAAACCGGGCAAGAGGTTAATACAAAGTGGGAGGCTAATCCCTTCATATTTCCTCCTATTGATGGTTACATCACCACGGTTTAATATCATTTTACTTCGAAAAATAAAACAAAAAATAAACATGTAAAGCTCTAGATCAGATCCAACAGTACACAAAATTCATCAGGTCTGCCAAAGGAATTCGAGCCAAGGGGACAATAACACCCAATACACAGTAAACTGAATGGAATACTGGAATCTTACAATGTACACCAAAACCTAACGGATACAACGCCACTGGATTCCTGATCCAAGTTTCTTCTCCTGGCTCACATGGTCACTTAAAAACAAAACCACATGAGCAATATGTACGTAAAGAATTAACAATGATAACAGCTTCAGCAAGTGCTCAAGCTTTCCCTCCTTCCCATCCCATTATTCCATCACCCTTCATTGTCAACTACTAAGATTTACACTTCAAATACATCCGACCTCTACCCAGCCAAAGTGGTGGATGACTGGGCTTATCGATAACAACCTTAGAGAGAAGATGGAACCAATGGAAGCGAATTCCAAATCAAAGCCTAGGCATTGGGTACAGTAAAGGGTGTAGTTATGATGGTGCTTTCCATGGCATTCTAGATGGAGGAGGATTGACATCTGATCCGATGGGGGCCGGTGGGCCTCTTCTAATCTGTGACTCCTGCACACTCGCACAAACCATTCAGTAACTGATGATACTAGTTGAAATCAGTCTAATTGGAGAGAGAGAGAGCGCAAACAAATATAAGAAGAAAAAGTTTATATAAGGTTGCAACCTTAAAATGTAGAATTATAGATGCACCTCAAAAATCTATCGGAAAATGTTGTTTTAATATTGGAAAACCCTCTAATTGATCATCTCGACATCAAGATGAACGAATATAAAAAAAAAAAACGATTTTAAGTGCCAGAAATAGTGCATCTTGCAATACATTATCTAGACCGTCCATTTTCAAGATTTTTATATGTTTATAGATCTACTTGATTTTAACCATTTCTGGAGTTTAAAATTTTATAATTAGATATAAAAATAGATTTTCAAATAATCCTAAGAATTTTACACCAAAATTACATATTATGATAGAATTTGGAGGTGCGCTTTAATTTGATTATTTAAGGTTGCAACCTTATAGAAACCGCACCCATATAAGAATGAACAGAATAAAGAGAGCAGTTTTCGTAGTCAATTACAATATTCATTAGAATTTGTAAAAAGAACATTTCAATTAGTGATGATTACAGAAATAGAGATTTGTCAATTTCAAAACGAAGGGGGTTAGTAGAACAGTTATACTTTCAATGTTTGTGAAAACTTTCTATTGCGTTTTGTGTTTAGCTTTTCCAATGCCAAATAGCACGTTCTTGTCATTGCATTGAGGGAAAGCCTTCCACTCCACCACCCCCTAATAACACCCCCCCCCCCCCAAAACCCTCCTCCCCCATCATCACCCCCCAACCCCCATAAAAGTAAAAAAAAATAAAGCCCACGAGGATATAAGAAAAAAACTGCGTTGCAACACATGTACAGGACTTTTCTTGTCACCATTAAAGGGCTGCAAGACAAAGCACTCATACACAATGCATGCACCTGCATGTGCACATACACACGAGCAATAGGATTGAACAAGGACAGTATGAGAGTTCAGATTGTAAACCTGATGTAAGTTAGATGAACTAGGCCGACGGGAATGCATCATACTCTGAGCTTGTAACTTAGAATGCATGCGATGCTGATGCTGCACGTGCTCAAACTGTTGAAGCCTCGATGCAAAATTGATGGCATTATGCATGCTCCCTGAATCCTGGTTCTTCTCCCCATCTTCAGAACCACCCCCAGGGGTGTAGGATAAAATCTGGGTGTAAGGATTTCCAGATGCTGTTCTCCTGACTGTGCTCACAGTACCACTTGATTGATCACCACTGAAGGCGTATGCAGGTACAGTTCTTAATCGAGTTCGTAAAATTTTAAAAGCTGCACTTTGCTACATTAAGCAATAAAAAAACAAGTAATAGTAAGTAGCGTATTTCCCAAAGCAAACACGCTTCCATGAGAAGAGTTGTACACTGAATGATTAGAGCAGCTGAAATTTCATCAACGCCAAAACTCATGATTCACATGAATAAAGTCACAGAAGCTTCAGGTAACTGCACAAATGCACTTAAAGCTGCTGGCCTCATCAAGTATAACATTCCCAAATTTTGAGGAATTTTAGCTCAATGCTACCAAATTTAGGATGAGAAAATTAGTTTCTTAAGAGATGTAAACTCTACTCCCTTTTCCTTCAATTAACCTCAGACTATCTAATGTTTCACAATGAACATGATGAGATTGTATATGAACCACTGGTGAGTAAGATAGATATCGCATGAACCCACAAATGCTGTTGACCATATTTTATGACTAGGACTGCATAACAACAAATGAACCCCATCTCATAATTAGAAAAGGTAGACAAAATGAACAGTTTCAACAGTTTCCTACTTCAGCATATTTTAGTATTTCAGAAAGGGAAAAGAAGATAAGTTCTTCTCAAACAAAAGAGAAAAGAAGATAACTTGGAATCTATATGAGGTCCAAAACCTCATAGATGATTCTAGTATTAGATTCGAATGGAAGTCCAATGTCCCCAAGGCACTTTAAGGACTTATATTCAAGTTTGGCAAGAAGAAATTGAGATAATTTGGATCGGAAGACTATATCTTCCAATTCCCTATATAATATCCACATCTAAAACTTGCTGAGCTACCACCAAATGCACGCTTGACATTTCCAACTTATCTAATCTTCTATCAAAAAAAAGTCATTTACCAATATCAGATGTTTTTCATACATTCCACCACCCAAACAACTACCTGTCATTATTCACGAGCAGTGATTTGAAAAGCGGACCGCCCAACGCCTAGGCGGTCCAGAAGGCCTGGGCACATCGCCTAGGCCTAGGCCTAGGCCTAGGCCTAGGCCTAGGCAACCAAATTAGGCGGACGGTCCCTGGGTGCCCGCCCAAGGCTTGCTCGCCACCCAAGGGCGGAAATGCCATTTTTTTAGGGCATTTTTTGGGTTTTTTTGAAAAAAAATTTAGATTTTGTGATTTTCATTTGATCGAAGTGTTTCGCAAAGTTACGGGAAACGGATCCAAGCATCACCCATTAAGATTAGATTTAGTTTTGGAGTATTTTTTGGCCTATTAGAGAGTGTTTTTTAAGATTTTAGCAATAGAAAACATCTCAGAGGTGGAAGTTCAGAGATCAAGCAATCAAAGTAAGTGTAGAACTTTATTTTTTAGATTGCTTGTATTATTTTGAGATGTCTTCTTCAGGATCAAGTCGAAGTGGTGATCCGGGTTATAAATATGGATATAACCTAAATCTGAATGATAAAAATTGCATAAGATGCAATTATTGTGAAAAGAATACAAAAAGAGGCATAAATCGATTTAATAAACATCTTGCTGGTATTAAGGGGAATGTTGCCCCCTATAAAAATGTTCCTAAAGCTATCAGAGAGGAGATTAACCAATATAGGAGTTCAGTAAAAACACAAACAGGAACAAAATCCTTGTCATTTGGATAGGTCTATTTCTGGTTATGTTAGAAGAAGTGATTCGGTCGAAAGTATGGTTATAACCCGAAACCAAATGTTAAAAATTGTAGAAGGTGTAATTTTTATGAAAATGATACCAATGGGGGTATTAACCAATTCAAGAAACACCTGGCCGGAATTAAAGGGAATGTTGCTTCTTGTAAAAAGTTTATGAAACTATTCAGGATGAGATTAAACAATATTTGAATTTAGTAGAACCAGAAAAGGAAGAAATGAGCCTTGTTCTATGGAAATATCCTCTCCAGGTTCTTTTAGAAGTGGTGATCCGGGTTGCAAGTATGGTCATAACCCGAATCCGAATGACAAAAATCATATTAGGGGTAATTATTATGGAACAGATACTAATAAGGATATTTACCAGTTCAATAAACACCTTGCCGGTATTAAAGAGGATGTGGCCCCGTATAAAAATACTCCCGGGGCTAGCAGGGAGGAGATTATACAATATTTGAGGTTAAGGAAGCAAAGAAAGAAAAGGGTGAAGAGGCACCAGGGTGAAGAGGCACCAAGTAGAGCAGCCAAAACTCCTAGGGCCTCATCTGCACAAAGTAAGTGGGAGGTAGAAGAAGAGGGAAAAAAAGCAAATTCAAAAGAAACAGAGGAAGACGAGCATTATGTTGAAGAGGGAGATGACTCTGATGATGATGGCCTCATATTTGATGCATATGATGAGGCTTACCCTACTCCTTTTGATGATGATAATAATGACTTAAGAAGGAAGGCGCTTGAGTGGCTTGACTCTTGGTGTTGACTATTGAGTCTTACACTGTATATTTTCTTTTTCTTATTTTTAATTTCTAGTTTCTACACTCTAACTCTTGTGTGTATGCTTTTATGTGTATGCTTCTATGGTTCTAGAATTGTATGGAAAGATGGATTATGGACTATCTAAATTCTCCTCATTCATGAAAATATGGACTATGGATTATGTGTTAATATATTATATAGTTATACTTTTAGACTTAGATACTTAGACTGCATACATTTTTTTTTTCTACTATGCCGCTCAGGTTATAGGCGCCCACCTAGGCATTGGGCGGACCACCCCCCCTCCCGGCCGCCTAGGTGCCGCGTAGCGCTTTTTGAAACAATGTTCAAGAGTCTATTCTTTTCCAACTGCTAATTAAAAATTGTGGGCAAAGGATAGTGAGTTTTCAAAATTCCTTATTTTGAAAGTTGGCTGTGAGTTTAATGTCATCCACTCCACGAAAGTTTATTAGAATTGGGCATTGGATACTTGCAAATTCTTCTTTTTTAGGGAAAGAGTATGGTGGACTTGCGGGGAAATTACATTTGGTCTTAAGGGAGAACTACCAATCTAGGAGGTTTTTTATGACCTGAAACTTTATGAAACAACTGATTTACCTTGTGATTGATTTCCACAAAAACTGATTTTGAGATCGTAAAATGCTAGGCCAGATTGCATCGAATGGACAGTCCATATCAATCTTGATGGAATTGATTTGGAGCATCTTGAGCTCCAAATCAATCTATAAAAAAAATGACCTTACAGATGAATAAAAATCATTTGCTAGTTTTGGGAACAAAAAAAAACCCCTTAATATGGTGCTTTGGCCGCCAAATGCATAATTTGACCTTAAGGGAGCAACAAATCCTTCTTTTTTTCCTTTTGTTTCTCAGTTGTATCATTGTAAGAATGCTAGCCACTTCTTTTAACCAGGTTCACTCCTGTCACTATGTTTCAAGATCAAAAGGATACAAGCCTCTAAGTTCCACTGTATTGAAGTCAACTGAACCAAAAAGTGATGATAAGCTCAAAAGCATTAGACAAGGGGACAATAAACATAATAAAATTGAAGCAATCTCTATAACTCTTAAACAGTATATGACACTTGGAAAGATGTCCACATATATCTTGGAAACAACAAAAAAAACTAAGAAATTACCTGTGGAAGCAACATCAAAAGGCCATACAAGGACTTCAACAACCATGTGTATCTTCCAGGATCAAGAAGCTGCAGTGATTATAATTTCACCATTAGCTATTAGCCAAACATTCAGCTTCATAGAGCATTGAGAAGTTATTCAATTTGTGGTATAAAAAGAAAGTAAAACAGATACCAACTGATCCTAATCTAATAAGTAGAAGTTAATCAGACAAAACCCAAAGGATGTCTTCCTAAATTTCCCAACATGACAATATAACAACTGCATCATAAGTGTAGTTCCTAGTTCATTAAGTTTTAACATTTAATATAAGGAAAGTTCAGGTGTCAAAAAATAGATGATCTATCTCATAATTACTCGAATCTCTCCGCTGAGGTCACAATTCCAGTTCGGAATCCCGATTCGGCAATTCCGATGAGGGATCTTCACAGAAACCACTTCCTGGAAGTTAAGAATCCCAATTCCGTAAGTTAGGAATCTCTTTTCATACCTATTTAAGAATCTCCATCCCATTATTTGTGGAATCTCAGTCCCAAATTTTTTGAATCTCGATTCCAATATTTATTGAATCTTCATTCCATCTGATTCCACATGTGATGAATCTTGATTCATTATGGTTTTGAATCTAGAATCTACAACATAAAATACCTCAATTCGTAGGAGCAACGAACTGTGATTCAATCAACATGGAATTTTGCTTCGACCTCCATAAGATACTTGTTCTATGTCAAAATCTCTCAACCTACATGTTGTTTTTTAATTCATGCAATAATGTATCCATGTGTGTGCTTGATGTCTAAACTAAATTTCTTCCCTACCACAATGTCATAATGTGAATTAAAGCAAAAAAATAGAAATAAAATAAAATAAATAAAATGATAAAAAAAGCAATTTAAAGTACATAATGTCCAATTTCCTGAATGGTTACCACTTTTTAAAGGTAAGTGGAGTAGAAATCTTCATTCAATTCGAATGCTTCTAATAGTGCTAGGAGTGGCTCAAATCACATTTCTAATAATACTAGGATGGACTGCATTTTTCTTTAAAGTATAATTGGTAACTACATCACATACAATAAATACCATGGCATAGAAAATCCTATTTTGTCTATATAATGATCAAGTCAAGGTCACATTTAGAAATACATGGGATAACATTTGTATCTTTTGTAAAGTTAACACTTTAAAGAAAAACATTTGTATCTTTTGTAGATAATTTCCCTAGTGGACTTTCAAGAATCAATACATGGACTTCAAATCTGAGGAACCCTTCTACAAGTCTAATAAGAGACATTTGATATCGATTGCTTAAACTGTGAGATGTTGTAGATATAGGAAACTTGTTCCTATGGGGCTTCATACTTGACCCCATAGAGTTACAAATCTCGATAGCCAGTTCGGATCACACTCGATTCTAAACTAATATGATTCCTGATTCCAAACTGGTATGAATCTTGGTTTCACATACATTAGAAACTCAGTTCCAAATATATCACAATCTCGATTCCAAAGTGGTGCGAATATCGATTCCACATACATTGGAAACTTGATTCATAAGATTTCAGAATCTTGATTCCTTTGGGGTTCAATTCCAAGGAGGTCAGAATCTTGATTCCATATGTAGTGGAATCTCAATTCCAAGGAGGTCAGAATCTTTATTCCATATGTGGGGGAATCTTAATACTATATGTGGTGGAATCTCGATTCCATTTTGGTCAATTCTCAATCCCCAAAATATAGGAATCTCGCTCCCCGCAATTCCAATTTGTACGGATGTCGATTCCAAAAATAAGAATTTTCTAATCGGCTGCGATTCCACGATTCCGATTCCGATTCCTAAAACGATTCGGGTTTCCAAGTACTTCCGACAACTATGATCCATCCAATAACATCAAGCAAACCAATCTCAATCTCCTCTGTCATAAGCATAATGGTATCTAACTTTTCATAATGTAACCTAATAAATGGGACCCAAAAGTTTGCCAAATTCCAGTGACTAAAATATAAGAATGCCATCATATTAGATTACATGTATAAAAAGTATAATGGTATTCGCGTTTTGGTTTTTTGTTTGGAGTAAGTCAGTGCTGCGAATAAATCAAGCCAAGTGGTGTATCCCCATGTGGGTATGAAAATATCAATTATGGAAATTTCTTATGCTGAGTAACTTACTTGGAATACTTTTAAAATGTTGCTTTTCTAGAAAAATCCCTAGGAAAATACATACATACATAGATACATACATACGCATGCACATACAAAAACTACAATTTACAAAAAGGTAAAGCAACAAACAAAATGGCATTCATAGACTTTTTGTTTATTAAATTTCAAATGAAAAGCTTTACAATAAGTTTACAACTTAAAAGTTCAATTTTATAAATTATAAATTCCAAGTTCTATAAATTTTGACAATTATGAAGAGACTTGTTAGGTCATAAGAAGTTCATGTCCCAGGAGCAGCTTTTATAGAATACGTTAAAGAAAAACGAAATCTGTCACTGGCCAAAGAAGGGCACGTTCACTGTTAAAGGTAAAGGTCCAGTGACCTGAAGCATCGTCCCGATTAGATGCAAGTTTCAAACCCATAACACTCAATAAAGGTTGTTGGTATACATTCAATGGGTTTAAGTATTTCAGAATTGGATCAAGTTCGAGCCCAGTTGCGTTGGATATTCTACTTTGCATATGCACTCCATTTACAAAACCAACATGCAGCCAGTCATTGCTTCATGAGGAATGACAAGACACTTGTACAATATAAAGGGTAACGCAATCATGAAAAACGAAAAAACCTACACTAAAGGGAAAGAAAAGACAAAAACTAAGGAAATCAACCTCGGTTTCGCCCCAGATGCACCCGAAATGAAAAATCTAAACCCAGATATCCATTGAACATGACAATAGACACAGGCTCCTGACAACAAGACTTGGATATCAAATCATCAATTCCTGTGATTATAGGCTAGATAATGAAATATGGCATTGTCGGCTTGGAGTGTATAAACTCATCGCTAAGAAGGCAGTCATGAATTGTCTGCAAGGTAGATAAAAGAAGGCATGTGATCACGGGGATCAGGAATTCTGATATTATATATGTTGGAAGGACAGAAATGAAAAGTGGGTCCAGGGGGTGGATGATTGACCTTTGCCAGATTAAAATGGACCGGCCTCAACATCCTAGAGAACACCCAAAGTTTCATCTACAGCCCACAAGGCCTCCTTGCTTTTATTTACAAATATCAATAGGCCATTTTGCTGTACCACAGGGTGAGCTGTCAGCTATGAGTGGCAGATGAATACAAGTTTCAAATAATTCGAAGTACTATCAGACATGGACATTATCAACTTTCAAGAGGAACAAAATATCAGTCAGTAGCAGGTTGCCATTAGGAAGTGATGGAATTAAAGATGTCTACTGTTTAAGGTTGAGGATGGATTTGGAGCACCCTTAGGATTGGATTCAGCAGGAGTATGGTGGGAGTATGAGGGGCGGAGATGATATAGAAGGCAAATAGGTCTTCAAGACCATGAGGATAAATAGTTGATGGGCATCAAGACGGCCAAAAGGGTATTAGGTATAAGACAGACAAAGGTAGAAAGAATAACCTCGTACCAGCATTACATAGACACGGTCACAGCACCAAACCTATCAAAATTGCACAAAATAAAAATGTCATCTTGACACTTCTTCTGAAACTCCAGTAAGTTGCTCATGCTGACACTTCGGATGAAGTGACTTATACTTTTTTAGAAGTAAATGGCAATGTCCATTGAAACTACAGACAAAAATTATCAGACACTTTCAATAGAAGTGTGGGCAACTTCTTTTGACACTTTATTGATGTGCCTGGTATTTCCAAGTGCAGCACCCAGGAAACACCTTGTATCATGGGTGGAAAGCCTCTGCTAGAAGAATCACACACAAGTGTCTGACCTTTCTACTCTTACATGGAAAACTCCCAAAATGTACAGGTTGAATGCAGGAAGACATGGCAGCAAGTGTCGACACATGACACCAAGAATAGGGTTGAGTGTTGGAGCAACATTGCCCCTTACAACTTTCCTGATTTATACGGTGTAAAGTAACTAAGATGCACAAAATACAAGGGATTATTTCTGCCATTAGATTTCACAATCTACCAGGAAGCTACTACATGGCCTCCACAAAGACCAGCATTCAAAGAAGTCACAATTATAAAGGTACATCAAAATATTACCTTTAGGTATATGATATGCAGAGGAAGAAGGCTTTGATGCTATGAATCTCTCCGCCTAGAGGGACCATTAGGCTCCATTTTCCTCAATGCACCAAAGGCAACCATGGACAAGCTGGTTATCCAGGAGTGACTCATGTTGAGTACAGTGAACTTGAAAAATGCTATGTGGGGCTTCTAGGAATTATCCATTCAAAATGGGATAGCACAATCACAGGAATTAGATTACGGAAGGAGAATACAGAAAAGCGATTGTTATTGAAGGACACGATCAATGTCATTACATGGATAAAAGAAGGATCTGGTGCATGGAAATTGGCTCTCACTTATTCTAAAGCCAAAGACACCACGACAGAATACCATAGTCAAAGTGCCTCATGTTCTGAGAGAAGCAAATTCAATAGCAGATAGACTAACAAAGGGCTACTAAAGGTGGTTTTCTGCCACATTAAATGATAAAAAAATTTTCTTATATCATACACTTAGATTGTAAGTCCATTTCCAATAATGAATTATATTTACTTATCAAGAATAAAGCTCAAATGGGTATATCCTCCTGGATACGCCTGCGTAATTTTGCCAGTTTGCAAAAAATAATCAGAGAAACAAATTTAAATAAAAGAGAAGTCCAAGTGGCCCTACAGATAACAAAGACATAACAAGAACAACCTCAAAGTTGCTTGTGTTATGTCCAATTGTGCTAGACCTGATGCATCCGACACCAAATGTAAAGTAAATATAAAAGAGAAAAGTAAATATAAAAGAGAAAAGTAAATATAAAAGAGAAAGATATAAACTTGGCTATTTCAGGTGACATAACCCCAATCTTTAAAAATTACAACTGCTCGACCCATTAGAGCAAAGGGAGAAAACATATCATTTTGAGTTTTTTGTAAGATTATATTTTTACAGTCAACAGCTTTTCCTGAATAAAGTTAGTGGTACTTAATTTCCTTTTAGTTTCATGATTTTCACCAGGCATACCGATAGCTATTAACAAGGTAAGGTTCCAGACACAGCCCAAGCTCAGATAACCTGAATAATCCCTAATTCTTATATACAGCACATTAACAATGTACATGCAGGGAATGGGGTTGGGGCATCATCGCTTAGGAGGGTTGATGCCTCAACATAATGTCCCACCCTCCAATCTCACCGTTAACATATCCAAAACAAAACAAAAACAATGTACCTGCAAACGTAAGTACGCAAAGATTGGAGTTTCCAGCAAGCGTATCAACTTGTCTAGTTGAACCAAGAACTTCACGGTTATGTCCTCCTCCACAAGGGACTGGATTACAGAACTTGCATGGTGATAAGCCTGCCAGAGAGGCCCAGAAATTTCTTTTTAATAACCATAAAGGATGACTGCAAGAGTTAGAAAGAAACAGTAAAAAAGAAAACAATGTGCCCACCTGAGCTAGAAGGCAAAGACTTATTGTCGCCATGGGTGAATGGCACCACGAAGAATACAGTGCTACAAATAAGTCTTTACCAGTAGAGTTCATTAAAGACTGCTTAAGGAGTGCTCGAAGTTCAGATAGTTCAGATGAAGTAAGTAAAATCAAGTTCAGAGCCTGAAAAATACCCAAAAAAAAAATGCAGGAGTTAGAAAATAATTCCGACATTAAATCAACATGCAGTTATTAATAAGCATCTAATATGATAAAACCTGAACCAAGATGGATGCAAAATCCAAGTCATCTTCACCCTCTAGAATAGTTGAAAACTCTCTGTAGACCCGTTCGGCATCCAAGAGAACACATAGATGACGCACTATAAGTGCACCACGTCTAGATAAAAGAAATTGTTAGTGAAAGCAGTCACAAGCAGCATCTCCAGTAACCTAAAGTGAACTAATGTGACCAGAGAAAACCACAGTAAGAACCTCACCTCTCAAGAAGAGATGGCTCATTCCGAAAGTTATGGACAAGAAAAACAATAAGATGGCGGAAGTGTGGTGCATCTCGTGCTATGCATGCATGCACCTCAAGAACCAATAACACCACCTGCCAACGAAGCCAAAGAAAAAATATTTAACAGGGTTTGGCCACAAATTAAGTCCAGAATTTTCTATAATCATGTGAACACTATTATTTAAATTACTAAAATGTATAAATGTTCAATGAGCAGTTCTCTCAGTCAAATAATGTTTAGTTCTAACACGTGCGGGGAATTGGATATTCAAATAAGAGAAAAGGTATTTTCCTTTAAAAAAATAAAAAATACCAACAAGAGAAAAGGTCTAATCTGCTTATATGTAAGACCGGCTGAACAAGAAATGGGGTATGCAATAATTTGAGAATCATAACAACACTCATCGACCATGCAACCTGGCCCTCACAACAAGTATGATCCATGTATATTTATGTACATTTCTTTAAGTTAACCACCAGATTTACGCAGTAATTGAATGGTAAATTCCTCTGACAAATAATGGAATGGCAACTTGAACTCAAGCTCAGAGCATACAAAAAATTGTTTCCACGTATAAATTCGATTAGTACGCTCCAAGTGACACTACTGGATTCATTGATAGACTCCATCTTTCAGAAATTAGGTGATAACAATCACAACCATCACTGACTAAAATTGTTAATACAGAGGACAATGCCTGCAGTGAACTTGAAAACTATCTAACTGTGCAGCAACTAAACTGCTTTCATCAAAGATAACAAGAACTTAAAGCAACCTAACCAGATTATTTTTCCAGACAGACAAAACACAGTGAAATGAAGAGCTTATTTGCATTAATAAATTCGCAAGAACAATTAATAAATTCACAAGAATACAAATCAATAAAAAAAGGACCCGGTTTTTATGCGGCCAAGCCCGCATATGTAGAAATGCGGGCTTCGCAATAAATATATTTTTTAAATATAATTTCATCCATTGATTTAAAAAACGGACCACCCAGAGCCTAGGTGGTCCAGAAGGCCTGGGCGCTTCGCTCAGGCCTAGGCTGTAAAACTGGGTGGTCCGTCCCTGGGCAGCCGCCTAGGCGGTACGGAACCCGCCTAGGCGGCCCCCTAGTGGCCAGCCCTGGGCGGCCGCCGAGAGCCTACGCCCCGCCCAGAGGCGGAAAAAATGATTTTTTTTTTTCGTTTTGTTATTTTGAAATATTTAAAGGTTAAGAACAATGGCTTTTAGGTTCATTTGAACCCTAAACCCACAAGAAGTCCCTTTAGACTAAAAAAAACCTCTAAAAAACTACATTTCATTGGATCGATCATCGAAGTCTTTATCAAAGTTTTGGAGTTCAAGCAACCAAAGTAAGTGCATTTTTTAGATTGTTTGCTTTATTTTGAGATATCTTCTTCAGGAGTTAGTCGAAGTGGAGATCCGGGCTGAAAATACAGATACAACTCGAATCCAAATGATAAAAATTGCGTTAGATGCAATTTTTACGAAAAAGATACAAAAGGAGGCATAAACCGGTTTAAGAAACATCTTGCCGGTATTAAGGGGGATGTTGCCCATTGTAAAAAATTTCCTGAAGCTGTCAAATAGGAGATTAATCAATTTTTAAGTTATGTAAAACAAAAACAAGAACAAAATCCTTGTCATAAATCTATTTCTGCTACTCCTAGAAAAAGTGATCTCCTAGAAAAAGTGATCTAGGTTGGAAGTATGGATATAACCCAAAACCAAATGATAAAAATTGTATAAGGTGTCATTTTTGTGAAAAAGATACCAATGGGGGTATTAGCCAATTCAAAAAACACCTTGCTGGTGTTAGAGGTAATGTTGCTTCTTGGACAAAGGTTCCTGAAGCAGTTCGAGATGAGATTAGACACCGTTTGAATTTTGAAGAATCAAAAAAGAATGAAAATAAGCCTTGTTCTATGGAAGTATCTACTCCAGCTTCTAGTCATCGAAGTGGTGATCCGGGTAGGAAGTATGGTTATATCCCGAATCCAAGTGATAAAAATCGTATTGAATGTAATTATTGTGGAAAGGATACTAATGGGGGCATTTACCAGTTTAAAAAACACCTTGGCGATATTACGGGAGATGTTGCCCCGTGTAAAAATGTTCCTGAGGCTACCAAGGAGGAAATTATACAATATTTGAGTTCAGAAAAGCACAAAAAGAAGGGTACAGCAGCCAAGACTCCTAGAGCCTCATCTACACAGACTACACATACTAGTAAGAGGAAGGTAGAAAAAGAGGAGGGGTAAGAGGCAAATTCAGAAGAAACAGAGGAGGATGAACGTTATATTGAATAGGGAGATGACTCTGATGATAATGACCTCGACTCTGATGCATATGATGAGGCTTGCACTATTGATATTCCTTGTGATGATGATGATGATGATGATTGAAGACTCTTGCCTCTTGGTGCTAAGTGTTGAGTCTGTTGACTCTTGTGTTGAGTCTGTTGACTTTTGTTGGACTGTATAGTCTAGTGTTAAGTGACTTGAGTCTGTTGACTTTTGAAAGACTGTATATTTTCTAAATTTCTGTATATTTTTGTTGTGTTGACTTTTATATCACTTGTATGGTTTTACAGTTTACTGTTTTAACAATATGGATTATCAAAATTCTCTTTTCGACTTCTTTTTTCTTTTTTCTTTTTTCTTTTTTTTTCAAGTTGGATTGTTGGAATATGGTATATTGGAACAATGGGATTTTTATTTTTTTTCAAATGGGCAACCGCACAGGTTCTAGGCGCCCTCCCAGGTTCTAGGCGCCCGCCTAGGCACTAGGCGGCCTGGACGCCCAGACCACCTAGGACCCGCCTAGTGCTTTTTGATACACTGATTTTATCGTAATTTTTATAAAGTATATAATCTTTAATATAGAGATCATGAATATGATAAAAAAAATTGAAAACTAGAAATACTAGTTAGATTAAGAAAACATTTGGACCGTTAGTTACAATTGTTTTTAGATGGACCACCTATTTGCATCCATCTTTAAGATGGATGCTTTATACATCTGGACCACATATTGTAGAAACGCGGTCCAGCCCGCATGAAACAATTTTCCATATAAAAAAAAAAGGCCAAACCAGAATGATTTGTAAGCTCAAGAACCATGCATATATTAAAGTTTAAAATCCTCAGAAATCTAAGTATATTTTCCCAAGAACCTCATCTTTGTGCTTCGTAATGCTTCAAAGATTTAAACTACATCCTTATGAAACTTAGCTACAAAGCTGCTTGAAAGGAATAAAGAATGGAATTTTTTTTTATATAATAAAAAAAAATTGTGTTTCTACTCTTCCAACACTGTAGCCACAATAATTGAGTCTCAAAAAAAAAAAAGAAACATTGGAACGAAACAATAATTGAAACATGAATTGCACGTGCCTCTTGCTAATAAGATATAAACCGACATTTCATCATCACCTTTATCATCATCATCCGAACCTTATCTCAACTATTTGGGATCGACTACATGAATCTTGTTCCGCCATTCTGCTCTATCAAGGGCCCTACCCTCAATCAAACCATAGGTCACAATATCTCTTCCATTACTTCCATCTTTGCCCTTTTGGGCCTTACTCTTGCCGTTTTAGAGCCTTCCACTTGAAACAAATAGCCCCTCCTAACCGGTATTGTTCAAGGGCAACATTGCACATGGGCAAACCACTTAAGGTATAATCCGACATTCAACAGTAAATAAGAAGAATATTAGAAGAGCATATCTACTAGCACCTGCTCTAAGTAAATATCTTGCCACTACATTAGCGTTTTAAGGGTAATGCTGAATGGTATTGACTAGCATTTTAATGGAAATGCTGAATGGGAACCTTCAATTTCTTGAACAATTTCGGAATGTCCTCAAATATGTTCATGTTTTAATAGATTGGACCTCGTTTGCTAACCCAAAGAGAGGAGTTCAAGGAATCCCTGTATATGAGCAAACGGTTATAGGGCTCCATGAAGATCCTGACCCACTGAGAAGAGACTAAGCCACTGTCTCGCTAGAAGCGGCACCCCTAATAGCCCGACATGTGCCTCGTTATCTCTCCTATACCAGCCTGTCCCAAACTCTTGAAATAGCTCCAATAAAAAATATCCTTCAAAACCTCCCAAGAAGGTAGCCCACACTTCCATGACCCTATATTGACAAACATGAGGACAAAATATTGTCCTTCCATCCCCACAAATAAAATCCTAGCCCCACAAGCATGCAAGACTTTGGTGCTACTCACATGTAAGATATCCAAATGCCTATCTTGCAGGTTCTACGTTACTTTCCTTATTCTAGGTTGAGATTGTCAAACTAACCATGCATAACCCAAATAAGTATAAAAAAGATGCCTACCAAAAAGAAAAAAGATGCTTACCAAAAAGACCTTTTGGAAGAAGCATCGTAGCTTACACATAATATAAACCAAATATAAAAAATTACGAACTGCTCATTTTTAAGAAAGATATCAAGTAATCTATCTAATTTCATGAATATTTCCAAAATGTTTTGATGATAAGATAATGGCATAAGTCTCTCTGAAGAATAATCCTTGGCTAGCAAAATTACTTCATCTGAGGGATCTGATAGAGCCTTGAGAAGAGGATCAAAAATAGATTCCAAGAATGATAGAACCTGTTCCAGACAAAATACAAAAGTATAAGTATTTCCCATATTTGAAACAGTTTACCTACAGAAAACTCAAAAGGCACAATCATACAGTGATAACAACATTTAAGTTTCTTTCATCAACAAAAGCTGAACAAACATGCACCACATATGTGATATGGGGAAACAAACAACATACTGCTGCTGCAAAAGAAGGAAAGTTCCAAGATACCTAAAGCACTAACAAAGTACAAGTACAGCATCTCTAAATGCCTAAATATACAATGCAAGAAAGGTGAAAATAAGCAGACAGAAGATGCAAAATATGTCAATTGATTACTACAGCACAAATGCCACCAGTGGCTATCGTGTCTCTATATAAAGGTAAGAGCATTGAAACTAGGCAGAGAGGAATGCAAAATATGTGCATCGAATAAGTTTACCTTACCCATGAAAAAATAGCATTAATACAGAACAAAAAGCAAACCACCATCGACAGATAGCATTATTACAGTACTCATAATGACATATCAGTTGAGGGGAACTTCAGAAATTGAAAAGACAAGGGCATGGGCATTCACATTAAAACAAAACAATATTTACTGGACAACATTCATATGATATCAACTAAAATTAATAAAAGGAAAGAGGAATAGGTTGTTAACTGTAGAAGATCTCTAATCTAAACAAAAGAGTTTTCAGTGTTAAGGTTCGATTAGAGAGAAAGATAAAGTTACTGACTCTCAAGGAAAATAGATAGATGGTCATGACCATCATAATTACAATCTTTAATGTCCTACAAAAAGTTAAAACTTTCTTTTTTGATGAAGTTGCACTTTTCTCTTATCTCTGAAAAAAGTGGCACTTTTAGGTTTGGGAACATTAATAAAAAAAATAGTCGAAGCAGAGGCATAAGACCTCTACAAGCATCAACAGTTGTTCCACGAAATCTCAACTATAGTTTGGAGCTACTAGAAATACTTCAAAGCACTAATAAGAAACACTAAAATTCAATCAGAAACCGAAATAATAACATTTTAAACTATTGATTCAATTTAGTTATATTGCAACAGAGAATCTCGTACAATCAATTAGCTTGCAAAACATCTCATCTAAGTATCTAACAAACCCAACGACAAAGCACCTATAATCCATCATATTCCAGATAAAGATCAATAAAAAATCACGTAAATCGGGTGTGAAACTGTGAATGCATGAAAACTTCATGCCCAACCACCCAACAGTGGAGGAAAAACAATTAAGTTAGCAGTTGTTTACATTATTCTGGCAGAACCTCCAGTTATCTTAGAGTTTAAGCTAATCCATTTAATTCACAACAATCAACAGAACAAATACAAAACATTATATATATCCTTTTTCCAAAGCCAGACAAGCAATAAGGACCCCGCACAGATGATGTACATAGACATCCCTACTCTTTACTCTATGAGATCAAAATGACGAGGAGACAAAGTAGCACAAAACAAAAATTCAACCAACATACAAGGTGACCAGAAAGGCAAAGTCAGAATAAAATTACCTCTAATCGATGTCTGGACAGAAGGGTCGAGATCCAGTGCAATGCCTCAATTCGAGTAGCCTCCCATTCACTAGATAATTGTCTGAAGTGCACAAATTAATAACAGTAATGAATTACACACTGTGATAAGTGATGTAAAACCATGACAGATATCCACAGTTTCAGAAATCAAAATACACAAAAACTTTGATGTATAACATAGCCCGGTGGTCTTTCAAGGACATAGCAGGCATATTATATCATATACTATAGAGGTTTAGTAACCTTTAAACCTAGCTGTTTCCCAGATGACAAAAAATGCACCTCCTTGCAATCGAGAGAATAGCTCCTATATCGAATCCCTCAGCCGGATCAGCCTTAATTGCACGGAGTTCTTCATTTGTTTCACGAGCAACCTAAGTAAAGATAAAGTAAACAATATCGAGGGAAGAAACATAAAATTTGTGTCACACGCTATACAAAAGGATCATGAAGCTATCAGAGTTTGCAGTATGGGGAAAAAGAATATCAAACATACCACTCTAATTTTCTCCTCTTTATCAGATATGCAGGGAAGAATAGCACCCAAAATATCAGCATAATAAGGAACCAGCTGGTCTCCACCAAGCTTTACAAATTCATTTATCTGCATGTTATTCCCAGAAAAAAAGAGTGAGAAGTTAACATATGGAATGACAAAGCAACACAGATAAATTTAATACAACAAAAACTGTCTCCCACTATGCAACATATTTATATCATCACGTGGATAGTGCCCATCACAGACTTGAACCGGCCCCCCTTATTGCTCCAGTCTATATTTGGAAAAGAACATTCTAGGAATCCAGTCAGAACCTAATTTTTTTGAATTCAGTGATAAACTGGGAACTAGCCAAACTTAATCCAGAACCCATCATTTCTTAACGACCCCATCGGGCCATTAAGCCCCCCACACAAAAGAAAAATTTTCTTCTTCTGAATGTTAACTTGACACCTGGTGAGAATGGGACTCTATACGTCATGTCGCAATTCTGACCACCTCTGTCTAAAGCCGGTTCTCCCTCATCTTTCCTAGTTAGATACAAGAAGCAATTTCTATTAGGTGGCTCGTTTTTACACACGCTTTCAAGAACAACACCCATTTGTACAACTTGGATTATTTTTTTGAGAAATCAACTCAGATTATTCATCTATATAGATGGGTAGATATGGAACATGCAAATATGTGCGACTTTTACAAAATAGGTCTAAAAGCCAATGTTGCAAAAAATGGCCCACCTAGCCCTACGTGGCCACACCACACCACCTCAGCCCCTAGGCCTAGGTGGCCACACCACCTCAGCCACCTAAGTGCCCCGCGTAGGCCTAGGTGGGCCTCCTGCATGCCATGACCTATGCGTGTGCCCAAGCACCCATGGTAGCACTCAAGTAGGAGCATCGTGCCGCAGCCGATGGGCATGCCTTTGTCTCCGAACTATCTTTAGGATTCATCGAACCAAAAAATAAAATAAAAATAAATTTTTTGGATTTCTCAAAATTTTTTGAGATAAAAAATATAAGAAGTTCAAGAATTTATTATAAGATAAAAATTTGTTTTGAGATAAAAAGTATTTTTGATTTCCACTATACTGAGAATTGGAATGTGTATGGAGTCTATGGGCTAATGCGCTTGTGGTTGTGGTCATGCATTTCGGTATTTGGGTACTTTATGTGTATTGGACCCAACATGGAGCCGTAAGACACAATTTTTAGCCATATGCATTGATATTCCAGTTTTGGATTTGTTATTGCTATTACTTATTACTCTTTGTCGTTGCCAGTTTAATCTTACATTCACAAACTTATTACAACTGTGAAAAGTGCTTCAGAAATTTCAATGTGTGTGTGCATGACAACTATATGTGCAGAGTGTTTTAAAATGTGGAATGCACACGCAGTGCTCTAGAGGTCCGATGCGACTCGGTGCGGTCCCAATGCGGGCACATACCTCTAATGTGGTCAATAAATTTTAAAAATTAAAAATTAAAAATTACAAAAATATACTAATCAATAGAAAAAAAAACATAAATACAATTTATGTGATAATAGATATTTTAATTTATTCAATACCTATAATATATAAGTTGTCTAAAACTTTGAGTCCCCTAATAGCCTAATAAAGAGTAATATAGTTTGTTGTTCTAACTTCTAATCTTTAATAATACAAATGTCTAACACAATTAACATGTAAAACAAAGAAAGACATTCCATCTCATATTTTAAAATATCCAAAATTTTAAACTTTAAAGTCTGAATTCCAAAGAGGCAAAGACGAAAAGTTTATGATATATAAAAGAAAAAGATAATCAACTCTCAACTCTCAATTAAACAAGTCATCAAATACTTGAATTTCTTCCATCAATTTCTCGTCTCATTTTCTTTTTTTCTCTTCCCTTTTTGTTTGGGGGGCTATTTATGTATGCTCTAATCTCTTCCCTTTTTTTCTATTTGCTTGGAAATACATTAGTATTCCTTTTAGTTTAGCATATTTCCATGCCAGATTCTTTTTACTTGAAGAATGATGAAGACAATGCCCCAAAAAAAAGTATTAGAAAATGAAAAACTTACCAAACAACCATAGGAATCTCAATGTAGGCAATGCAGCCGCATATACGGGTGCTGCACTTTAGGCAGCATATGCATCACATTTTTCCGCATATGCAGCATAATGTGCTCGAGGCCGGCCGCATTTTAAAACAATGTATGTTCACTTGGAGCACACATGTACTTAAATATGTGTGTGGGGCCACTAAGCCTAGGCAGCCTGACACCACACATATCATCTAGGATTTGTTTAGTGTTCTTTTGAACATAGATAAAAACAATCTCCTAATTTTATTACCATTAAAATACTAGCAAGGTATTATCAGTTAGTCTTTCAAATATACAATATTTTGGTGACATTACTTATGTACAAATCTATTTTTGACAAGGGAAAATTTCAAGTTCTCCTGTAGGAGGCCCAAAACAGTGTCCTATCACATTATCTAGCCATTTTGGCCAGAATTTTCGTCCATCTCCTGCGAGCTAGTTGAGTGATTAACAGAAAAATTTCGCCTCCACCACGATTGATAGAGGTGAAACTCGCACATAATAAGACTTCCTCCAGTTAAAACCAGGAAACACAAAGCAATAATTATCCAAAAACTACTCACGCGCTTCTTTCCGAATCTATTAAATAGACCCTTCCTAATTTAAGAGGACTCCTAATTATAATGCAGCTTCTAATCATGAATTGGTAACTTGCCCTTGATATAAAAAAATAAAAAATAAAAGATAATAAGACAATTCGTCCTTTAAAAAAGGATTATTCTACCCCTAAACAGCCACTACAGCTTCCAAGGGCCATAACGTTGTGTCTATATCAAAAACTATTATTACCCCTTTCTGAAATGGATTTGATTTCTGAGCTCTTTGATGCCCAAGCCCACAGTGCCGGTTTTGCCCAACAAACTTGGCATAGAAGAACTTCTAAAGCCCTAAAATCAGTCTCTAGAGGGTGTTGAGCGAGTTTCACATAAATAATTGGAAACACCATTCCCTCACCATCATTTTGGGGACTGACTGGTCATTTTCATCTTTATTTTAACTTTTTCGCAACTTAAACTCTAAAGGCTAATAAATGGATGATGGAAATGGGATAGGATAAAATTGTGTTAGTCCTCCAATAGGAAGAACAAAATTTTTCCTTTTCATTAAATTTCAGACCAGAATATAAAACTAATACAATGAGAAGTTATTTGTGAAAGCATGTGTGTAGATATTGTTAGCCCATTAGGTAAAAGAATAGTATCAGCCCTACAGCCCCACTTCAAGCTTGAAAAGTTTGAGGACCACAAGTACAAACATTGTTTGACTTTTAATTTTGCCATAAGTCAGTTTGACCAGAAATTTCTAGGACATATGCTTCTAACATAGGCAAACAAAACAATAAAAAAATAATACTCAATAAAAAATTGACCTAAATACCCCCACCCTTGATGGCGAATAAAAAATTGACCTAAATACCCCCACCCTTGATGGTCTATTAGCCTAATTTACTATTGCAGTTTTTTTTTTTTGGTACCTTAGATCAGGTCAACATGCCCCCAAAACTTCAGGTCTATTGGATTTAAAAAATAAAAAATAAAAATTAGATAGTGAACCAAGATGCAAGCCATTAAATCTATCCAGATTCAACCTAGGCCAATCAATTGATATTGTTCCATCAACTAGTGGGCTAACAAAAGTTACTAGGTGTGTGTGTTAGATCTCAAACTTCATTTTGGCAAGTCCCAAGCCCGGACAAGAAAGGAGGAGGGTTATGTTAGGTCAGCAGCCAATATAAAACTTTTGCCACATCCCGATCAAGAATTTTGATCCAATATATTATATGCTCACTCTAGTGCGTTGTCTGACGTGTTGCACCAGCAGCCACGTATAGTGAGAAATGAGCAAAGGTTAACTAGGGTCTTCCCTAGAAGAGATGTGCCGTTTGAAGCCTGATTGAGGTGATAAACAGCCCATGTTATTTTTGACCAGCACGGGTAAAGAAGCTGGTTTAAGAAACTAGGATTCGTATGGCTACATAGGATGTAGGAACTCTATCAATTAAAAATATGAAGTTAGTGGATAAAAGGAGTGAAAAGTTAGTGGATAAAAAGAGTGAAATGAGATTTAACATTGCTTACTAAGTGGAAAGGGATAAAAGCGAACGAAATTTATGGGCATTGTAACAATCCTAAACTTTAAAAAAAAAAAAATAGATAAATATAAATAAATAAATAATTTTTTATAGTGTGATGGTCCATATAAGTATTATGGTCCATAGGAACCATCACCACTTTTGTTAACTTTTTCCTTTCCTTTACCACGTCCTTTAGTTGACGTGGGCCTTAAAGGTTTCACGTTTAATAGTATTGTCACACCTCATGTATGAGGTGGAGCTTAATAAGATAATATAATAATGTCTTACGAATTTAAATAGGAGAGGTGAGGACTCCCACCCCAGAAAACTTTTGAGATCTTTCTCTCTCTAGTCAAAACACAGTGAGCTCCTCTCTCAAGCCTTTTATCGGAAGCTCCCTCTCAAATATTTTAGGTAAGTGACTTCATTATCTTGAAAAATAATCCGTTCCTTTTAAAAATGAAATGAAATAATTACTTCTGCTTATTATCACGAATTTTAGGTGTGATAAATTTTATGCGTAAGCGACCTCATTATTTTGAAAAATAATCTTTTTAATAAAATTGTGATATTTTATCTATGTTAGAAATTTTAAATGCTGTAAATTCTTAGAAATAAATTTGATATTTCTGCTTTTAGTAAAATTATAAGATTTCTTTCTACTGTTTTTGAATATTTAGACATTGTAAAATTCGTGTGCAACTGACAGCCTTATTATTTGAAAACTGATATTTTTGCATTTGATTATAGCATTGTCTGTGAAATGTTTATTTGCAAATTGACATCCCATAAATTGTGATAATTCGGTATTCTTGAATTTCTATAAGAGTTTTTCTATACATATTAGATTGGCAATTATGCCAAAATGTTTTTACGACCTGCCACCTTTCTAAATTTGAGCCCAAAATATTTGACTGGTTATTTTTGAAATGTTATTGAAA